GTTCTTATCCTACAACTCAATCTTGTATCACAAAGAAAAGGGGAATCTAAAGAATGAGGAAAGAATGAAAGCCTAAATATAGGTCCCTTGATTAGCATAAGGTCAATGGGGACAGCCAAGACAGTAGGAATAATAGAAGGCCCTTTTGCAAGACCCTATCACCGACATTAACCTCCAAGCTCACACTGAGCAAAAGGCCAGCCCCACAGTAGCAAACAATGCCTGGATGGATTAGAATTCCCTGGCAGGGTGGTCTGGTGTCCATGCAAAAGAAGGTGGAGCTGCATTCAAGTGGCTGCAGAGCTGTCCGTGGGGCCCTGCCAAACAGCGGGAAGTTCCCTGCTGCCCTGCCTGCAATGGAACAATACTCTTCACACCTTCGTGTCCCCTACATCCACTGCACAGACCCCAACAAATGGTGATCTCACCCACCTTTCTGTAGCCCTTAACCCTTACCACCCTAATCAACTATGTAAAAGTCATCAAAAAATAAAAAACAATTAATGGGAAAAATACATGCATGGAGTGGGTGCTACAGCACAGCCAATCTACTTGGGATACCCACATCCCATGTGGGGGGGTCTCTGGGATTGGCTTCCACAGCGGTTTCTGATGTGCCTGGGAAGTGTTGGCATGGTTAAGAGGTTAACTGGTATGTTAAAGAGCAGATGAGATAGTCTTCACTTCTGTTCCTCTGAAATTCAGATTACATCACTAGCCCTTTGGAATCCGGTGTGCTTCATACTGCCAACAATTAAAATTTAAAAAATGGGACACTACTACCAATGTTACAGAAAGTATAAGGATTACAAGAGAATAGGAAAGGACGTTTGCTAGCTTTCCTTTCTTAATAAAAACAGATGAGTAGGAGTAGAAGGGACTTAGAGTGTGTGATGACAAACATCTGTGAAACACCTGCAGCCACCATCATCCTCAGTGGCGGAAGGTGGCACATCCCCTGCCTGATACGGGCAAGGCGAAGGCACCCCCGCCGAGGCTGCAGAAACCTGAGTGTTGAAGCCTGACTCCAACACTCATGAAGTGATGCGTGTCCTTCTAAGAGACCAGGGTACTATTGTCATTCTGTGTCACATGAGGGAGGACCTTTAGCAGAGTGCAAACGCCTCTAGCGTCGTGGGTAATGGAGAAGAAATGCTCACTGTTGAAGTCAGCTGGTTTCTCACACTGTTAGCGTAGTCTAAGTTGACCGAGGCTCCCAGGCCTGCCATTGCTGTGTGACTTGGTGCTTCCAGTCCTAGCCAGCGCAGTTAGACAAGAAGAACAAAGGGAGTTAGCGGTGCTGCCTGAAATCACAGACAGCGTGACGCTACCTACAGAACAGTCCCAGGGAACCCACAGAAACCTAGTAGGGCTGATACATTTATCAAAATTTTCAAGGTAAAGAATGACAAAAGAGAAATCAATTGTGGACCTATGTACAAGCAGTGATTGAGTTGAAAGGGAGTTAAGAATGTGGTTGTATTTGCAATAATTACCTAAATAAGGACAAATGTAAGTAAAGTTCTAATGTACTGGGCCCAGCGAGATAGCATGGCGGTTGGGGTCCTCACCTTGCACACACCAGGATCCCATATGGACGCCGGTTCTAATCCCGGTGGCCCAGTTTCCCATCCAGCTACCTGGTTGTAGCCTGGGAGAACAGTCAAGGACAGTCTAAAGCCTTGGGACCCTAAACCCACGTGGGAGAGCCAGAAGAGCTCCTGGCTCCTGGCTTCCATTGGCTCAGCACCAGCCATTGCAGCTGCTTGGGGAGTGAGCCATCAGATGGAAGATATTCCTCTCTGTCTCTCCTCCTCTCTGTATATCTGACTTTCCAATAAAAATAAATAAATTTTTAAAAATTCTAAGGTATATGAGAGTTTTTCCATTTAAAATATTTAAGGAAAATTTATCTTGATCTTAAAGTCCTACTAAAGAATGTTATTTGGCAACTACTAAAGGATGATAAATGATGCCTTCTTCATAAGCTCTACTGTAAAAACTGCCTATATTTTAATTTAAAATAGAAATCTTTGAAACTTTTTGAATGGAAATAATGTGAATGGCTTATGTAATTTCTGCCAAGGAATTCATATGGACTGTTCTTTAAGCTACTGTCATTTATAATCAAAATGCTTGTAACTTACGTTGATGTTGGCATGGACAACATCTATGCTTGGTGCATCCAGAGAAGTCTCATTTGAACTTTCTGGGAGATCCTTGATGCCTGAGGTTTTATAGTGCTCTCCATGGGCCATTTAACTGCTGGCAATTTTAATTCATATGATTCATAATACTAGGAATTTAAATTCACTCTTAATTGAAAAGTAAAGTTACTTAAATTCTTAAAATGCTAATAGCCTTGGAAAAATATCTGAAAAATAAAGGCCCATATGATTTTGCTGGCCCACTGCCCAAAGCTTATCATTTACATAAATATCTCTTTGAGCAAAAGAGTTTGATGAACTGAGCTGCAGAGGAGAGGAAAGTGGCTCCAACCTGGAAGGCACAGCAGCCAGTGCGCTTGCGAGCAGCAGCGTGGGCTCACACGGAGGGCACTGTCCCAGGGCCACGCTGCAGAACTGACATCGGTGGTGCCCAGGTCTGTTCCATGGGACTCATCAGTGGCCAGTGCGCTGGCAAACAGCAGCGTGGGCTCACACGGAGGGCACTGTCCCAGGGCCACGCTGCAGAACTGACATCGGTGGTGCCCAGGTCTGTTCTATGGGACTCATCAGTGGCCAGTGCGCTGGCAAACAGCAGCATGGGCTTGCATGGAGGGCACTGTCCCAGGGCCACGCTGCAGAACTGGCCTCAGCACTGCCCGGGTCTGTTCCATGGGACTCATCAGCTGTGCTTTGGCCAACGTCTTCCTGCCTCCTTGTTTTGTACTAAGCCCCTGGTGTTTTGGGAGTTCAGCTGTTGATGAGCTCACTCTACTGTGCAGGCTCAGGTGCTTTTCACACTTGTAGCAATGATGCTGTCCAGTTCTCCAGCTTTCCCATTTCAGTTAAAATATTTTTAATCATCAGTTTCAGTATCAGTTCATTATGGCCATCCCACGTGGGAGAGTGTCAGTTTCCTGCCTCTGTGTGTGCAGAGGGCCTTCCTGAACGCCATGCAGACACCCTCGCTTGTGGTCTGTTCTCTCCAGCACCCCGTTCTGTTCTTATTTGCTGATTTTGCGCTCTGGCTTTGCCTTGAGGTATTTCATATTTGATTCCCAGGCATGTGTGGGGTCTGAGCTTTAAGTTCTGGTCCCAAAGAAACAACATGGCAGATGCTGGTCTAGGCTCCCATTTCCCATCTGGAAGGCTGCGAGCACGTCGCTCTCCTTGGAAGCTGTCTATCACTGACTTAGTTGGGAAGTGAGGCGTGTGGGTGCCATGAGTACACAGCACACTGCCAGGTATAAATTGTACTACTTCACCAGTATTGATGCATGGCTATTCCTGCAAAAGCATTACAGGCTGGAAAGTGAACATAGCCATCACTTCTAGAAGTTTCTCCTTTAAATTTTTTTTATCAGTTGTTAAGTGTACATATTTAGGGCTACAGTGTATCATTTTGATATGTGCATATAGTGTGTGTTGAGGAAAAGAGGGTGACAGTCATTTCCTTCTTTAGACATTATGTTCAAATTTGAGCTGCTGTCTTAGTGAGGTTTTGACTCACATAGGGTTGGATTTTCATGTGATGAGACATTCTTCCACGTGTGTATATCTAGTTCACCGTTTATTGAAAATACTGTCCTTTTCCAATGTGTGTGCTCAGCATTTTTGGCAAAATCAGTTGGCTGTCAGGACGGAGTTCCTGACTCTGGCCTGATAGCCCTGGCTGTTGTGGCCATTTGAGGAGTGAACCAACAGGTGGAAGATCTCCTGTGTCTTTCTGCCTTTAAAACAAATGAACAAACAAACAAGCAAATCTTTTTTAAAAAAAATCACTCAACTGTGTGTGCATCAATTCATTTTTCAGTTCTCTATTCTAGTCCACAGATCTTTGGCTTTTATACCAGTGCCATGCTGTTACAATGACTATAGCACTGTAGTATGCTTTGAAACCAGATTTATTTGCTCAGGATCACTTTGTTCTGTTATTTTTTATGGCTATTCATGAATTTTAGGATTATTCTTTCTCTGTAATGCATATCGTTGGTATTTTGTAGAGCTTGCACAGAGTCTGAGGCTTGCTCTAAGCTGTGTGGCTATTCTAACAATACTAATTCTTCAATCCTTGAATAAGGGATATCTTCTGTATTTTTTTTTTGCATCTTTGATGATTTCTTTCATCAGAGGTTATAGTTTTAGCTAAAGAGATTTATTTCTGACCTACAGAAATAACAATTTTATTAGCTCAACCTGAGAATTTAGTAAGTATGTTTTAAGTTAAAATTTGTATTTATTTTCTTTATGAAAGACCTGGAAGCAGAGACCTGTCTTGCCTTCCAGCTGTGTGACTTGGGTCAGCTCTGTCTGTGCTGCCCACTGCCTGTGTCCCTCTGCGGAGAGGTCACGTCCGTGCTGCTCACTCCCGGTGTCCCTCTGCGGAGAGGTCACATCCGTGCTGCCCGCTCCCGGTGTCCCTCTGTGGAGAGGTCACGTTCGTGCTGCCTGTTCCCGGTGTCCCTCTGCGGAGAGGTCACGTCCGTGCTGCCCGCTCCCAGTATCCCTCTGCGGAGAGGTCATGGCTTGGTCCTCACTGGGAGGAGACTCACTGGGATCCTGCTGTGGGGGTGCTTTTCCTTTCTCTCTTTCTCGGTTCCCTTCCTGCCTTTGGCCAAAGGCAGCGTAAGCACATTCATTTTAATCTAGTGGTTTTTAACAAGACCACTTTGGATTCTTTTTCCTTCTTTGGTTTCTTAAAACTTGTTTTGGAATAAGAGTGAAGTGCTTAAAATGTTGTTTGTGTAAACAGCATCATTTCTGTTGCCTGTAGAATTCATCTTTCTCAAATAGTGACATCAGTGACCTTTTTTTTTGTTTGTTTATTCCTTGAAGAGTATCAAAGAATATTCCGACGACTAAAGATGTTGAGCCACTGCTTGAAATTGACAGTGACATAAGAAATTTTGAAGTATTTTTGTCCTCACGGACCCCGGTGCTTGTGGCTCGAGATGTGAAAACCTTCCTGCCCTGCACTGTGAACCTGGACCCCAAGCTGCGGGAGATCATTGCGGGTGAGTGCTTTCGTTCCCCTCTCTGAACCCTTCGGGGACTTGCTGTTTCTAACTCGGCCATGGGAGACCAGGAAACACGGACCCAGGTACTACTCGGGAGAATAAATGAGTAAGGATTAGGAATCTTGAATCCTTTTGGTAATGTTAAGACATTCTTACTGTTGAGCTCACTGTAGTATGTTCTCAACCCCTTGCCCCCAGAACTGACTGTGGGGCTTGGGGACGAGATCTCTTCCGTCATAGTGGTGACTTGAAGACACCAGTCCGCTGTAAGCTCTTCTTACCAGTCTTCTGTCCTTGATCGATAGAAGGAAGAAGACCTTTATATTACTTTCTACAATTTAACTTAAATATGTGAACTAGAACTTGAATGTGAGATGTTAAGGTTTTGGAGCAAATGAAGTTCCTGCGATCCTATGACAGACGCACACACACGTGTAGACGCCGTTGTGCGATGAGGCTGTGCCACGCCGCACTGAGTTTTCCAGGAGTTAGACCAGATCATTTAACCACGCCTGTGCACTCCCTCCTGTCCCTGTCGGAAGGCTCGTGTCCAAGGTGGATTTTGTCTTGCAGCCTCGTTGTGGCTCTTGAGTGAGTCTCATAGTTTGGCCAGTCTTACGTGATGCTGTCTCTGGCAGTGCTCGACAAGTATGAGTTAAAAAGTTAACGGTTTGGTAGCACCTTATGGATCATCAGAATTTTTAAAAAGTCAGAGATGAACAAATCCTTACCAAGGAAGGAAAAAACTAATAGTTGTGGTAACTGAAAGAGAATCCTGGCGTGTTGGCAGTTTTGATGCGGACTAGTTTGATGTCTGTCACTAACAGGCCTGTGCAGTATTCGAGGTTTCCTGGCTACTTCTTCAGTCTAGGCTGATCCCTGGCCTGAGGGAGACAGTTGTTTCTGAGCAGTCACCCTCGCAGGAAGTGGTGCTTGGGCTGACCCCCAGTGTCCTGTTTCTTTTGCCTCCTGGAATATGATGGAATCATCCAGATGTTCGTGCCGCGAGAGAACAGATCAATATTGGAGGACTGGCGTATCCCCCGCTCCCTCTCCACGAAGCTGCCCCGCGCGCGCCCTCCGGGTACAGTCAGGCTGCGTCGGGCTGCTCGTCCTCTGCTTCCTTCAATGGGCCCTTCGCTGGCGGGGTGGTCTCCCCGCAGCCGCACAGCAGCTACTACAGCGGCCTTACGGGCCCCCAGCACCCGTTCTACAACAGGGTAAGTGGGAGCCCAGCTCCTCAGACTTGACACCACAGACCTCGCCTGGGAGTCTGTCCCTGTCACCATCTCAGAACTGTTTAAAACAGGAACAATGTGCAGGTTCCAGGTTTGAATCCCAGACGTGGTGTTTACTTGTATTTGTTTCCCTGATTGGAAAGTGAGCTTGCTGGGCCAGCAGTGACGCCTCTTTCAAAGAAATCAATTTCTGTTTATTTATCAACAGGTGTTCTCTTAGTTATCTCTTGTGTAGGATTTTTATATGGACACTTGAAATAATGATAAGCTTCAATTCCTACAGTAATTAAGGATTCCTATGTTTAATACGATTTATGTCATTTGAATGTGAGGTAACCAAGGGAAAATATTGCTTGTGGTAATCAGGTCACTGCCAGTGTCACAGTAGCTTGTTTTTAGATTTTTATTCCAAATTGTCAGGCGTAATTGTTTGCTTAGTATAACATGTCAACTTTTTCTTGTTTTGTTTTTTAAAGGCAGGGTAGGGTGGAGAGAGAGGAGAGAGAGAAGGAAGAAAAGGATTACTTTTCCATCTGCTGGTTCACTTCCTCAGTGGCCATATGCCCGTGCCTGGGCCAAGCCAGAGCCAGGAACCAGGAACTCCATTGTGGTTTCCCAGAAGTGGCAGCCGGGGCCCAAGCCTGAGGCTGCACTCTGCTTCCAGGCACAGCAGCTGCAGTCTGGGTCAGCCAGTAGCCACCACTCACATTGGAACTCCTGACTCAAACCAACCCTCAGGCGAGCCACCATCCCAGCCCCACTCACTCACATTTTCTAGTGAAAAGACAGAGCATGTTAATCCCAGTGATTCAGATCCTGTTGGGTTTGGACTGAAATTTACCTAGGTTTACTTTTAACTGATATTTTCTGGAGGAAAATGCAGCATGAGCTCTAATGTGCTTTTTGCAACTGTACTGTAAGATCCCTCACGGTTTATTCCTGTTGCCTCCCTCTGTGGTCAGTGCCCATTGCAGCCACATCAGTGTTGTGGGGACAGGGGAGAGAGCCAAGGGCAGTGGAAATGCAGCTTCTGAATTCCGTCTGACGCACAGGGTCTGGAAGGTGTAGGCCGTGTTGTTCCTAGGTGCAGCAGGCACGCTGGCCGAGGAGTGCGACAAGCAGCCGTGCTCCTGTGGTCGGCAACGGGAGACACAGGTTCTCTTACAGGAACTCACTGTGTGCTCACGTACAGCGCCTCAGCTGACAGCAGTGCAAGTTTTGAGCCAAGAAATGTATTAAAAAACAACAAACTGGGCTGAGATTTCATGCTCACCGATTTTATGGATAGCAGTGTGATAATGCTATCATGGTATTTTATCTTTGTAAAAATTTTTAGAATTTTTTTTCCTGTTTTTAGGTTAATTGATTTTCTTTCTATAGGTGTTTGAAAAATTTGGGTCTTAAAGCAGAATAATTTTTTCGACCTGTAATAAGTAAAAATGATAGGGGAAGACGTTACCTCAGTATAATGAACTTCAGTAAGTTAGTTTAGAAATAGTTTTAGTGCTTTTCTACTTTTTAAAAAGTACACTGATTTGAAGGTACAATGAGAAGGAGACGAGAGAGAGAGATTTCATTTGCTGGCTGACTCTTCAGAGACTGCTGCGCCGAACTGAAGGCAGGGGCAAGGAACTTCCTCTGGTCAGGGACCCAAGCACTCGAGCCGTCATCCACGGCCATGCGGGAGTAGAGCGGGAAGCTGGGTCCAAGTAGGGCAGCCTGGACATGAACTGTACCCCAGAAAGAGATCCATGCTGTGACTGGCTGCCTCACAACACTGGCTCCAGCTGATTGGGTTTTAATTTTTAATCTGATATAATTAGCTGTCACCTACTTATATAAATCTGCTACAAATAAATGCAATCATTTGAAATTTTGTGAACAGTAGTTATGAAAAGTATAGTTGCTTATTTATGATAATGCACTGACATGTAAGGTATAGACTCCAGGAACTCAGAATAACATTATTCCTGCAAACAGCAGTGTTTATACCATCTAGCCTTTTTTGGGCAGGGTGGGGAGATGGGGTGGGCAGTGGGAGACCACATCCTATTTCAGCTAATTGTTTTTTGGGTTTTTTTTTGGGGGGGTAAGCAATAGGGTTCTAAGATCTCAGTCTACTCTTTAAAGTCATATCTTTGGAGAAATAGTGAGTTAATAATGTAAATTACTCAGAGCCCGATGCATGATAATCGTGTAAGCACGTGAAGATCACCTCCCAAGTCAGCTGTAGGGCGCAGAACTTTGTTCTTTGTTTTAACGTTGATATTAATGAACAACATAAAGGTGTAAGTGGTATGTCTTAAGTTTGGGTTTGTAGTAGAATGCGACAGAGGCATTTTTATTGTTTTCCCATTTGCATTAACAGTTTTGGGGTTATGTTTGATTGGCTCGTTTCATTTGATAAATCTCATTATACTTTGATTTCTGTAATTGTTCATGCCCTTTTTTGTTACGTGTTTTTCCATAGCCATTCTTTGCCCCCTACCTTTACACGCCAAGGTATTACCCTGGCGGTTCCCAACACCTCATCTCCCGCTCATCCGTAAAAGCGAGTTTGCCCAGGGATCAGAACAATGGCCTAGTAAGTATAAAAGGGGTAACTCAAATCTTAATCTCATAGCAAACATAGAGAGCATTACAAGTTTGGTCATTTGCTTTTGGTAGTAAGAGTGCAACTTATTCTATAAACAGTTTTAAGAAATAGAAATGATTACTAACATAAGATGTATTTTCATTTCTGGTGAATTTTGGTGGAAGGCAATGACTGCTAGCCAGCAATAAATGTCAAATTTCTAAAAGCAGAGGTTCTGGCTGAGAGTAATGTCTGTTACCAAAACTTTCTAACACTAAACCTTTATATCTGCTAATTTCTGGCACTGTTTTAAAAATATATACATATATTATATTGCATATATATTTATGTTAGCACTATGGTATGAAGAAGGCTATCTAAAGAACTCTTCAGTGTAATGACACGAGTTAAAGAGGTCAAGGAAAATGACTCTCATATGCTGCTGAAGCGAACCTGACAACGTGCGTTTCACTTAAGAAAAGCAATTCTGTGAAAATATTCTGATAAATTAGGAGATAAACTGCCGACAGACAGTGCTGCCTCTGGACGTGTGTGAAGGCCCGCGCTGGCAGGATGGCAGGAGGCCGCGCGGGCGCTGCGTGCTCCTGCTTGCTGGTCGTCTGGCTCTCCTCCCTTTCTCACACACTCTCTGTTCTGTGTTGCTAGGAGGTTATCAAGGAGGATGCTGCCGAGGGGCAGGCTGCGCCCGCAGACCCCTCGCGGGTAATGGAGTAGTGTGGTGTGGAGCTGCCCCGCGTGCTTCTGCAGCAGTGATGACTGGCTTAACGGGCTGACAGCCGCGCGCTAACTCTGCCTGTGCAGTGCGATGCGGCTAGTGCAGAGCAGCTCATAAATGAATTAAAAAGCTAACATGTAACCCTAATCCCCCTTGCTTCTCCTGCTTGTCCCTGCTTTCAATGAGAGGTGGGGCCTTTCACGTTTTCTAGTAAGGCAGGGATTTTTCCAGCATCATTGGGAGTGTTGCTGAGATGAGACATGATGGTCCGCTCCGTGGTGACGTAGCCGGTGGTTGATACTGACTGTAAGAGCCCACGTGTGTAAGAGAATGTCCCTGTCCCCCTCGAGACCAGAAACAGACGATGGGAGCAGATGAGTGTCGCTCCGTGCAGAGTTGGCGATGACTCAGTGGCACGGTGCAGGGCTACTTTTTATTTTCTGTGTGTTTATTAAAATTAAATTTCCAGGAAAGCACACGGCGAGATCAGCAAGCTGAGGTGGTTATGTCAACCTTTTTGTGTGCCACCATCTGGACATAGATTGGATCAGAAAGGATTGCAGCGCATGTCACTTTGTGCAGGTGTTCCAGAATGACTTCGGTTAGAGAACCTCCCACACGCAAATTCGTATGAGCAATGCAATTTTTAAGCTAAAATTTTTAGCCAATTTTTTATGCAAGCCATATATCTGAAGAACTGGAGGGCTTACTGCCATGAACATGCTGACGTAGTTGCTGCTGCCTAGCAGACACTTAGAGCTCAGGGTGCCTGCCGGTGCTGTCAGGAACCAGGGGCGGGGCATCAGCGAGTCTTGAAGCAGTGTTTGGGAAGGGGAAATGACGCACTTGCTGAGATGTGTTGAGAAGCTCAGTAACAAAGGATAAGGGTACTTGCTTTCGTTTAGTGAAATTACTATTTACTGTTTTTCTAAAAAATATTAAAAGATAGTTTTGTGATTGAGTGAGCAATACATGCTTACCAGGCTTCTCTTACTTTTAGGAAATTAACATACCAGTAGCACATCAGCTGTGTTTGTAGAAGGTTAGAAGTCAGCAGACGCTTGGTTCAAGCCAGTGAAAGCAGTGGTGGAAATGCAGTGAGGCACACGTAGGACTCGGGGCACTCCATGGCAGGCCGGGCGAGAGCCCTTGGGCAGCAGGGCCTTCCTGTACTCCCGGGAAACCCTGAATCCGGGTCTGCATCTGTTTGCCCTCCTGTCCATGGTAAATCAGGAACAATTAAACAAACAATAACAACAAAAAAACCAAAAAACTAAAAAGGGAGATCATAAATGGGTAACTAGTTATGGGGTTTTTAAAACATGGGTCGTCCCATCTTTTTGTTTTTTTTTTAAATTGTGAGAATTTTCTGCTAAGATTTTGTAAACTTTGTAGATCAAGTCCTTGTGAAAATAATTGGACTTTTTCAGATTAAGGAGCCTTTCTGATTGTAGTTTGTGAAATCCAGTTGATAAGATAAATTATAGATATAGCCAAGTGTTTCACAAAGGGGAGAATTGGTGAGATGCTCCCTTCCAGCTCTTTCCTTTAATTTTCTAACAGGGGAGAGATCTATGCCCAGTGTTATAAATCCATGTAGAAATGTTAGTGCCAGGTCGGGGTGTGCTCCTGGCACCTCCGCGTGGGGCAGGATGGCTGTCCGCCCAGGGAAAGTGTCTGTGGAGGGAGGCGCCTCGGAGCTGCGGCTCATGGTGCCCGGAGAAGCAGGCCTCTGGCCCCACCTTGGCCTTGCCTTCTCTCCTGAGACTCCTGGCCCGTTTCATCGTAGCGTGGATGAAGTGGGTGCAGCTGCCCTGAGGCACACAGCCTGCATGCCAGATTTGGAAGTGGCACCTCACATCGTTATTTCTCTGTGTCAGGCACCTTGCTTGCTGTCATCCCGACTGGTCTGAGTGAAGACCACCTTGGGGCAGAGCCCCCCGGCCTTGGGCACTCACTGCATTGCTGTGAGTCCCAGCCTTCTGCTATGGAAGAAGCAGGCCAGGAGCACTTAGCCTCAGTACTTTGAATAGTTCCTGTGTCTTGCTGTAAACCACCCAGAGGCCAGAATGCGTGCGGCTCTGGAGATTGAGGGCAGCGCTGCTCGTGGAGATCCCGACGTCAGTGGTGTGCCTTGTTCACGTCCATTTTCAGCTTGTTTCCCAAGCCTGAAAGCGTGTCTGTCTGCTGACTGTCTCAGCATTCCCAAGCACATCTAGACTGTTGGGCGGCTCAGCCACGGGACAGTGTTCTGGGCAGTGTGTGGCTGATGGAGTGCATCGCACCAAGAGAGACAGCTGTGAGATCACGAGAAGGTATCGGGGACCGCGAAGCGTCACAGCACAGCGTGACAGTACTTCGCAGTCTGGAAGCTTCCCGGGGAGATTCCCCTGGAGCCTCTCCCTTAGTTCAGTCCAGCTCCTTGGAAGCAGTGGCAGCCAGACCATTCCACAGCACTCGGAGGGAGCCCACTCTGGGGCCCTTGGGACCCGCTCCCCTCGGTGGTGTCTGGTCTCTAACGTAAAACCAACTACTGCTGCTGCCAGCTGCGACTCATTGAAAAGCACCTCCCCCCCCCGCCCCCAGGACAAAATGATAGAACATTTCTTGTCCTTTTTCTTGAATGATTTAATGTTGAGTACTTCTAGTGTCTCTGAGGTGGTCCCTTGGCCCAGCAACATTCGCTGGCACAGGAGGCACGGGGTCTGAGCAAGGGCAGCGCCGGCCGACCTGCCCTCGGGGGCTGTGGGCTGAAGGCTGGCACCAGCATGGTCAGTTCTCTCAGCCCTCTCTGCCACAGCCCTGACCCCGAGGCAGCTGTACCTTGTTGAAAAACCATGACAATAACCAGCACATGGCGTTGTCAAGAATTGCAGATCTGCAAAGGCACTGTTAATATACCACATGATCTCCTGTGTGCTGTTATCTTGAAGATCCATGAAAGCTACTGAGTTAATGAATATATTAAAATCAAGACCTCGGTTTGCTTACGTGGGAGCCAAGCTACAAGTGAGCATCTAAAGTCAAAGGGGGCCCCCTGCAGGCCGTTTCTATCTCCACCACTGGGTTAGGCTTGCGGCCTGTTGACAAACACGTGTGTGAACAAGCCAAGCTGTCTCCCTCTGCTCAGGGGAAGACATGGACAAGACAGGTGGCAATGCTGTGGGAAGGGAGCTGCAGACGAGCGGCAGGCTGCCTCGGGCTTGGGGACGGTGCTCCCTGTCAGCTCTCCCGGATGCCTCAGTTACTTTGGCCAGTAACACATTTTTAAGATTTATTTATTTATTTGAAAGGCAGAGTTACAGAGAGGTCTTTGAGAGATGGCCTGCTCCGCAGATGGCTACAGCAGGCAGCGCTGAGCCAGGCTGAAGCCACGAGCTCCATTCTGCATCTCCCAAGTGCTTGGACCATCGTCCATTGCCTTCCCAGGCACGTTAGCTGCATCAGAGTGGAGCAGCTGGGACTTGAACTGGTGGTCATCTGAGATGGTGGCGTTGAAGGTGGAAGATTAACCCATTGTGCCACACCACCAGCCCTTAGGTCATTTTTTTTTTTAAGATGGCTTTTAAAAATGTAATGCTAAATCTTATTTGCTAACTTAGACTTAGGTAATAAAATGTTTATGGTAGAATAAATTACAAATTCCCAACTGATTAACCATAGTCTTCTTTTGTGTTTTGTAGTAAGCTGTAATTTCATTATATTTTTGTAGGATTCCACACATAAATCCATATAAAATATTAGCTTTAAAAACCTTATTAATCAAAAGTTGATAATGTAGACTAAGAATGAGGTTCCCATGGAGTCCTCCTGATACTGAATACGCGGTAAGATATCTGACGTCCTGTCTTTATCTTGTCCTGTCGGAATGGTGTTGTAAGTTGACCTCCATACAGTATCGTCATCTGTAGGTTAGGAGTATCTGACACCAAACTAACAAGCACAGCAGCATGGTTAGTGACAATCATTGTTTAAAAATTTAAAAAACTGTACATCATTAAAATTATCTTAATTACAATGTTCAAATTGTTTTCCTCCATTACATTAATGATTTCATGAGTTATAAGATTTTTAGGGACTTTTTCCTACAAAATGATTTTAAGATTTTATTTATTTAAACAAAAATTTTAAAAGATTTTATTTATTGGGCCTGGCACAATAGTGCAGTGGTTAAAGTCCTCGCCTTGCACGCCTGGGATCCCATATGGTTGCTGGTTCTAATCCTGGCAGCTCTGCTTCCCATCCAGCTCCCTGCTTGTGGCCTGGGAAAGCAGTCAAGGACAGTCTAAAGCCTTGGGACCCTGTACCCGTGTGGGAGACCCAGAAGAGCTCCTGGCTCCTGGCTTCAGATTGGCTCAGTTCCAGCCGTTGTGCTCTTTTAGGGAGTGAACCTTTGGACGGAAGATCTTCCTCTCTGTCTTTCCTCCTCTCTGTATATCTGCCTTTCAATAAAAAGAAATAAATATTTTAAAAAAGATTTTATTTATTTTTTTATTGGAAAGGTAGAGTTACAGAGGAAGAAGGAGAGTCAGAACCACTTCTACCTGTTCACTTCCCAGATGTTTGCAATGTCTGGAGCTGAGCCAATCCCAAGCCAGGAGCCAGGAACCTCTTCCGGGTCTCCCATGTGGGGCAGAGTCCCAAGGCTTTACACTGTCCTTGACTGCTTTCCCAGGCCACAAGCAGGGAGCTGGAAGGGAAGTGGAGCAGCCAGAACACAAACTGGTGCCTATCTGGGATCCAGGTACGTGCAAGGGGGGGACTTTAATCAGGCTTCTGTGCCAGCCCCAACCTCAAATTTCAAAGTGTATTTTTTAACATGTAGTAGGATTAGATATTTTTTCTTATGATATCATAAGATATACTATCAGGTAATTAAAGTTTTAAATTAAATTTTAAATTTGTGTGTGGTAGGATTCTTAACATTTCATACCAATTTGATTTGCCTGGTTTTCCTATCAAATGTATGGCCCATGACTTAGTCTTTTAATAGGAAAAAATACTAATTTTGAGAGTATAGTTTTAACTACCAAGTACACAGGAATGAAATTAGACTCTCCAGTCCATGTGTGTGAGAGAGAGACAGAGAGAGAGACAGAGAGACCCTGTTGGGATAGATTGTTCATAGTTGGACGAGTAAGGGAAGTGGCAGAGTCTGCTGGGAAATATGATGCTCACTTGATGTTTCATTTCTCGCTGAGTCCTTTCTTCTGTTTTGCTTCTCCTCCAAGCCAGGTGACTCTGGGCGCAGCCGACAGGTACAGGAGCCCCGAGCTTGCTAGAAGTGGCCGGAGGTGGCTCCGTGCTCGGCTGTGCCCGACTCGGCTCATGCAGTGCCTGGGTCTCCTCTAAGTGTTGCTTCAGCCCCGCATGGCCCGCGGCTCTGGCTGAGCGAGTCTGAGTTTATGTAATACACTTACCACAGACGAGAATGTTCCAGAGCATAGTTTCCATCTGATTTCAATGTAAAGTGAGAGCAGTTTTCTCACTGAAGGCTTCATGTTGTGATATGTTTTACAGCCTGGGGAAATTCTGCATTTTAAAGTTTAATAGCTTAAAATAAACTAACATTTTCTGCATTTAGTTTTCTGAGTTAGTGTTTCATCTTAATTGGTTCTGATGTATAAAACCACTGTACTGAAATGATGTGTTCTTGGTGATAGGTCAATTTCAAGTAAGAATGCATGGCCAGTGTTGAAGTGTTGCCTTTTAGATTAGGCTCTGTCCTCAGAGTGTCACGTTTAGTCAGTTTACCTGCTGACCGCTGGTTTATCCTTGCTGTTCCCATTTCACTCCTGCACTCTCTGCATTTCCTGATGTTACCCCCCCAAATCAGTACTTTAGTTGGGGTTCATTTGGTTTCGGAATAACCTCATTGTGCATGGCTGTTTTACAAAAGGCCTGTCGGGATTGTCACGCCCTTTCCACCTGGACAAGCTCGTTGATGAAGTTCTGAGCACACACAGACAGTGGTAGACTGTATTTTGGATAAAATTTAGGAACCTTTGTGTGTGTGTGGTTCTGAAGCTTTCAAAAGTCACTGGTGTGTGTGTGTGTATATGGACATATATAAATTAACTTGTACAGATTACCTGTTCCCTGATGAGGTAGTTACTCTAACTGGTAAAATGTGAAAGTTTTAAAGAATCATGAAAGTAATGCTTTTCTGTTAAAAGGATAATTCCTTTCCAAGCATAATTTTGGTGCTGAATTCTCAGATTCTCTGCAGGAATAACATACACTTTAATAGTTTATGTTTTTCACCCTAAATTGACAAGATTTAATTTGGTTATCTATAGTTACTCTTTCCTGTATAATCAAAAATAGAATTCTTTGGGGGAGTTTTAAAACAATTTTTTATTTTAAAAGTAATTTTAGGCCTAAAGAAAGGTAAATACTGCATTTCCCTGTTGGTGACATCGTCATTAACCGAGTCGGGGAGCTGGTGCAGCCGCGCACCGGCCCTGGTCTCTGCCGTCGGAGCCCCGTGGCGCTCGCACGTCCCTCACGGCCTCGCTGGACCTCAGGAGGAACTGAGATGTGTGTGCCCGTGGCACAGGCAGGGCTTTCCTGAACATTCTGCCTCGCTCTGGGAATGTTTTTCTTTTAAACACTAGGCTTATTTATTGTTTTGACTTATTTCAATGAAACACATTTTTCTTTTTTTTTTTTTTTAATCTTTATTTTAGGACACAACTTAATAGGCATTGGGGTTTCCCCTCCGCCTCACCCCCCCCACTGCTCTCTCCAGCCTTCCTGGTACCCTCAGACGTCCATCTCACTGCCACTGAGGTGTTTCCCAACAATTCGGGGGCCTATCTGTCGTTCAGAACAAATTTTAATAGGGTGCATTTTACTTTCACATGTTTAAAAAAGTAATATAGTGGTTTTGTAGTGACATTGTGCAGCTTGTAAAGGGCGAGTTCTAATGCCTTGGCTATAACATACGACCCATTAAAGCTTCCTGAGTAATGTAGGCGCTGCAGTATAACCTCGTAGACCCTTTTGTCTCTCTGTAACATAGACAGCAGTCGTGTTCCCTCTGTCTCCTCTTCTTAGTGGCAGCCGCCTTCTCTCTTGAGATCCTGCTATAAACATTTGAGAAGTGGGTGCAGGTGTGGTTTCTGGAATGTTCTTAGAAGAGTGTGTTTGATCACTCTAAGATACGTAAAAGCTACTAGTAAGATGTCGCAGTCACTAGATCTCCCCTAACGGCGTTTCCTTGCCACACTGCACATTTGTTTTTATTTGCATCATGTGACTTGTGAGTTGGCTTACGTGTGCTCTTCCTGCCTTGCCTAGGGATCTGGCCCTGCCTCAGGAGCAGCAGTGTCATTGAATGCGATGAACGTGGAGGCCGTGTGTGAGAAACTGAAGCAAATTGAGGGCCTGGACCAGAGCCTGGTGCCTCAGTACTGCACAACCATCAAAAAGGTGCTGGTTCCTCCATGGGCTGCACAGGGCAGGGGCAAGGGGCAGCGAGCCGCCCCTTTGGGGCCGCCAAGGGGTTCTCTGCTGGAATGGGAAGGCTCTAACGGAAACTGAGTTTTTCAGTCTTGTATGTAAAATCGCTTCGTTGCCTCTCAATTTGTAAGTGTGTAGGAAAAAGTAAGCAGTTCTTGTGGTGCTATTTTTGAGGAAAGGACCCTCCGGTAAGCAAACAGGTGAGAAGTTCAGGTTGGAGGGACTTGGCGTGTGTCCAGTGGGGGTCCAGTGGGGAGCAGAGGAGATGGGACGGCTTTTCTTGGGTGTTACATTTTCTTTTGTTGTAACACTGACATGATTATCAAGGTAAACCAAGCTTGTTACTTTTCCCCAGAAATCTCCTGTTTGTCATACAGGTCTTCTTTTCTGTCCTGTCGGTGACCTCCTCGGGCACGCAGGGCTGATGCAATAGTGGACTGGTGTTTCTTCTGAGACCCTGTCCTTGTAGTTCTCACAGTGACTGTGGCACTGGACAGTTCTGCCTGGGCCCACAGGCAGGCTGTCCCTGGGCCAGGCCACCTGTCAGCTGCACTTCCCTGGTGCTGGGGTGAAAGGGCACACTCCCAGGAGGCCTCTGAGGTTGGCACACTTCGAGTTGTCAGAATTAGCAGCATGGCCAGGCACTGTGTTACTGTGTCAGTGTCAGCGTTAAGTCAGGGTCAGGTAGTGGCCGATTCCTCACAGTGATGGTCCCTGCGTGTCCCTGTCTGCACGCCGGCACTGCCCTGCTGTCCTGCAGCAGCTGTCTGCTGTGTGTATGGGAGCGGGATGACCTCTCCTGAAGAGCACCCTGGTGTCCTGCTGACCTTGGCTTCCACTACCACAGCTGGGGCTCTGCCGACCTTCACCGTGATATTCCGAAAATTTACTGCAAATAATGACATCAGATTTTCTCTTTCTAAACTCAGCCAGCACTCATTACTAGCAGCAAAAAGACTAGTTTTCTTATTTAAGAAGACACCCTAGGGACCTGGGGGCACTGTGCATTTTGTGTGGGCTCAGTAACCTGGGAGTCAGTGGGCAGGCATTCCTGCTGCTGGACGCTGTCGCCTAGCAGGTGGAGCAGATCTGTCCACTGGCCTCAAGGCCCGGCGCTGCTGGCATGACCAGGGCCTTGGCTCTGCTGGCTAAGGTTAGAAAGCAAAGGCAGGTGCCCTGCAAGTAGCGGGTGGTAATTCTGGGGCTGGTCTCCAGTTCACTTTTCTAACACTAAATGTAAGTGCACTTTCTAAATCACTACCAGTCCGAATATTCACACTGTGTTCTTGCTTTTACTTTTACCCAGGCAAACATAAATGGCCGTGTATTAGCTCAGTGCAACATTGATGAACTAAAGAAAGAAATGAATATGAATTTCGGAGACTGGCACCTTTTCCGAAGCACAGTAAGAAATTTATAATGTTATAATGTTATTATAGTTACAGTATTTTATTGTAACATTTGCAATAACCTGTAACCTTGTACAGACTGGTACTGATACATATGACACTTTTTTATGTTTACAAAAAAGAGTTTAATTGCTGCACTTGACCTTTGTGTCCAAGCCTGTTGATGGAGAGTAGACGCAACAGCACTCATCACCCTTGGCCTTTGTGGGCATCGCACTCAGGAATGCGGGGGGACATCCGTGCCAGTTCTTCATGGTTTCACTTGAGGAGACTCCCCTGACCCTCCCCTTGTCAGCCCCATTGACCTCTGGGCCTGGGTCTTTGCTGGTATCCCTCCTGGGCTGGCATCACCCAGCTCTCACAGGAGCCTTGTGCGTGCCCCATCCTCCTGGTGGTTGGTGGCCCTGAGCTGCTGCCAGTGAGGTTCCTGGCACTTATGCTTCCTGTTGGCACATCTTTTCCTAGAACAGCTTGGTGGGTTCTTTGCTCAGCTCAGTATAGAAACAAAGAGAACCAGTTGCAGGCAGAGAAGTTTTATTTGTGAAGTGACAGGTGAATGTAGAAGGCAGAGGGAAGGGGACAGCTCCTCCCAGGAGAGAGCCGGGAGGTGGGGGCCTCGGGAAGGGAGAGCGGGAGAGACGCCGAAGGTTGGAGGAGGGGCTTGGGATTGTAAGTGCTCCCTGGCCTCTCCCTGTGTGGGAGAATGGTCTCAGCCTGCTAGGAAATGGCTGGGCAATCTTATACCATCCACTGAAGGCATGGTGGGCTCGGAAGGTCTCACTCACTGGGCACTAAGCCTGCCCCACTCTGCGTGCTGCCTTGTCTGCTGGCCTCCAAGGTGAGCCCAGGGCTGGCCCGGGCCCCCTTACCCCCTACCCTATGGTGAGGCTTCTGGGGGAAGTCCTCTCCCTACAACAACTACACTCCATCTCTGGTTTGATTAGATACACACAAACTGCATTTTGTTTTGTTCTCAAGTTTAAAGTAACGTGATGAATATGAATAAGACTCCCACTGCTGCCTGTAGTAGGAGAAAGGAGAGAGAGCAAATGTGTGAATGCGCTGGGAAGTCACTCTCGGAAGTGTGCTTGCTTCTAACAGATAGCTTTGTAACGTGTGATCTTTTAAAACCATTTGTAAAGCATTTAAGATCTGATTTGTCAGTGTAGGTGGTTATGATTCTTTCCTTCTGTTAAGATACTGGAGATGAGAAATGCAGAAAACCAGGTGGTCCCTGAAGACCCGCGTTTTCTTGGCGAGAATGCCGGCGGCTCTGTGGCCCATGGTGAGCCTGCCCGTCGCTCCTCACACGAGCTGCCACACACCGAGCTGGCCAGCCAGGCTCCCTACACACTCAACTTCAGCTTTGAGGAGCTGAACAGCCTGGGCCTGGACGAGGGGGCCCCGCGCCACGGTCACCTGAGCTGGCAGGTGGGTACTGCAGGCACAGTCCTGTTACTCGGCTCGCAGGGCTGCCTGGGGATGCCTGAGGATGTTCGGCTGCAGCCTCATCCCGGGTTCCACAGAGACGCACCCTGTGCCTGCGTGGGCACAGCAGGGACACAGCAGGGGCACAGCAGGGGCGCCGGCTCTCGGAGCTGTGTTCCCCGGGGCAGGGACGGGGACAGCCAGCAAGGCAAGGAGGAAGAGCTTTGCCAAACAGGAAAGAGGGCTGCGGCCTGGTGGATGGATGGGAACTTGGCCTGGCAGTTAGGTGCAGGCTGGCTTTTCTCGTGCTGTTCTCATGTGACTGTCCTTGAACCTGGCTGAGACTGACCTTCCCTGGGGACTGTCTACACGTTCTGCTGAGCGCCGGATTTTGGCTTCTCAGTGCATACACACCCTTCCTAGATTCTTTCTGTATTTGTTTGCTTGTTTCTTTCTCTCATTCAGATTTAGTTATATGAAAGGCTGAATGATAGAGGGACTCATGCACACACTGAGAGGGAGAAGGAGGAAGAGCTTCCATTGCTGCTCACTTCCCAGTTGGCCACAAGGGCTGGGCTAAGGCTGCCCTGAAGCTTCAGCCAGTCTCCCGTGTGGGCAGCAGGGGTCTGAGGACTTGGGCCACTTTCTTCTCCCTTTCCAGATGTATTACAGGGAGCTGGATCGGAGCAGATGAGCTGGGACTCAGGCAGCACTCAGCAATGGGGTGCGGCAAGCCTAACCTGCTGTGGCTCAGCTCAGGTCCTGGAGATGACCTTAGAAGAGGAAGGGCAGGCACAGAAGGAGCAACAGTGAGCTGGGAGCCAGTGGCCAGGCCCCGAGACCAGCAGACGTGATGGAGTGGCCCCACTGGGACCTGGCTGGTCCCAGCTTCAGACTCTCCTGTCCCCTGGGAACCCCTTTCCACTCTGACCACAACCCTAAAGACTCCAAGAGAGCTTCTGTGGGTAGCAGTGTTGCTACCAAGGTCACTGTGTTACCAATGAGGATGGAAACGTTTTCTGAATATTTGTTCATTTAGTTAAACAAACTGCACAAACCATGTTTTTATGAAAAATGACTGCAGAGGGGGGCTTTAGAGAAGTTGTAAAAAGTTGCTCCTTTTCCATGAATTTTTGAAGTCCTCTCATTTTTTCCAGACAAAATTTCATGACAGTGGTTTTGTCTGGCGAATCCCTTTACTTCCCTGCCTCCTGCTGGGCCCTGGACATGCCCTGGACCCCTTGGGAACGTGAGGGGAGAAGGCCCCCGCCCGGGGTTCTCGAAGGCGCTCCCAGGCTGTCCATGGTGCCTGAGCTGTCGCAGGGACGCTGGGAGGAGTGCCCAGCCCGCCACTGTGTCTGGTCTTCGTGCTTTGCCCTCGCCCTTCATCTGTGTTTCCTCTCCTTAGTTGTTAGTTTTCCTGGGATCTAAAGGAGTTTTCACCTTCAACCTGCACGCCTGACATCGCGCTTTTATGAGCGCCCCGTTCCTCCGTGCCATGGCCTCTTCGTGGCCTGGTGGCTTCTGTCTCTGCTCCCTGAGGGTTCCCCTTTTCTCCTGTGCTCCTCTTGGAGCCCCTCGTTTGCCTGCTGATGGTGCTGAGTCAAAGTTTGAGGGCAACTTTCTGCCAGCCGAGTTGGTGAGGCTCCTTTCACCCTTGTTGGGTTTTGGGCTGTGTCTCAGGCCTTCCAGGGGGGAAGTGTTCATTTTCTCAGTGAATAGGATTGATGTTGATTTTTGCCTTAAATAAAACCTAAATATAGTTATAAATGCAAATGTTATGCATTCTTTTTAATGAGTCTTTAGACTTTTAAATTTTGACCAAAAAACTAATTTCATTAAAATTTACATGAGTGCCCAGCACAGTAACCTAGTAGCTAAAGTCATCGTCTTGTGTGTGCTGGGATCTCATGGAGGTGCCGGTTCATGTCCTGGCTGCTCCAGTTCCCATCCAGCTCCTTGTTTATGGTCTGGGAAAGCAGTCAAGGATGGCCCAAGGCCTTGGGTGTCTGCATCCACATGGGAGCCCCGGAAGAGGCTCCTGGTTTGGGATCAGTCTTAGCTTGGCTGTTGTGGCCTACCTGGGAAGTGAGCCAGCAGATGGTTCTCTCTCTGTGTGTCTTCTTTTTGTAAATCTGCCTTTCCAATAATAATGAATAAATACTTTTTAAAATTTAAATTTACATAAAACTTTCGAATAATGGAATTCCTGATGAGTTCACAGCACTTGTTAAGCTATGCGGAATCCTTGTAAATGAACTGGATGTTTCAGTGACTTGAACTTGTCAATGTGCATGTTTTCTGTGCTATTTTTGTGTCTTTTTCTTGGATCTTGTTGCAATTCTGAGAGTGATCTGTTCTCTCCCTGTCTTCACAGTCACAGACTCGCAGAACCCCGAGTCTCTCGAGCCTCAACTCCCAGGATTCCAGCATCGAGATTTCAAAGCTGACCGATAAGGTGCAGGCTGAGTATAGAGACGCCTACCGCGAGTATATCGCTCAGATGTCCCAGCTGGAAGGGGGCCCGGGGTCCACCACGCTGAGTGGCAGGTCATCTCCGCACAGCGTGTCCTACCTGGGGCAGAGCTCCTCTGGGGGCTCAATCCACTCCAACCTAGAACAAGAGAAAGGCAAGGAGAGTGAGCCCAGACAGGAGGACGGGAGGAAGGCCTTCCTCCTGAAGAGGGCTGACGTCCTCGACTACTCCTCCTCGGGGGTGTCCACCAGCGACGCCTCGCCCCTGGACCCCATCACGGAGGAGGACGAGAAGTCGGATCAGTCAGGCAGCAAGCTGCTGCCAGGCAAGAAGGCCTCAGAAAGATCCAGTCTCTTCCAGACAGATCTGAAGCTGAAGGGAGGTGGCCTGCGCTACCAAAAGCTGCCGAGTGACGAGGATGAGTCTGGGCCAGAGGAGTCGGACAAGACACCCCTGCTGAGGGACGACAAGGACGCGTCTGCGGCAGGGAGGGTGGAGCGGGCGGCCAGGTCCCCGGAACACGGTGCTGAGCCAGGCCGCACCTTCGTCAAGGCCAAGGAGTACTTGTCCGATGCCCTGCTGGACAAGAAGGACTCTTCCGATTCCGGGGTGCGCTCCAACGAGAGCTCCCCCAACCACTCTCTGCACAATGACGCGGCCGACGACAGCCAGCTGGAGAAGGCCAATCTCATCGAGCTCGAGGATGACGGCCGCAGCGCCAAGCGGGGCATGCCGCACAGCCTGAGCGGCCTGCAGGACCCGGTCCTGGCCCGCATGTCCATTTGCTCCGAAGACAAGAAAAGCCCGTCAGAATGCAGCTTGATTGCCAGCAGCCCCGAAGAGAACTGGCCCACGTGCCAAAAGGCGTACAACCTGAACCGAACGCCCAGTACCGTGACCCTGAACAACAACAGCACCCCGACTACCCGAGCCAACCAGAATTTTGACGAAATGGAGGGGATTAGGGAGACCATGCCGGTTATTCTGAAGCCCAGTTCTGGTCTCAACCCCACTGCTATTCAGAATGAAAATCTCAAAGGCGTGGCACATAAGCGGGGCCAGCGTGCGAGCTACGGCAGGCTGTCCAAGGAGGCCTCGGAGCTGCACACTGCCGCCTCTCCGGAGAGCACAGGCTTTGGCGAAGAGAGAGAGAGCATTCTGTAAGAAGAGCAGCCCCCTCCTGGCAGCGTCATCCCAGATCCGGAACCCACACGCCGCCAGTGTGTGCGTCATCCCCACAGAGATGTGTGCAGTGCATTAGTGGCCATGAGGCTTCGCCAGCCTGGCGACTTCTGAAGGAGGCACCTCAAACCTGCCTTCTCTAGCCAGATCTCTCCCTGACACGTGATGCCCCGAAACAGAGGAGATCTGAAAGCAAAGGCAGGTCGGAAATGTCCCAGTTAGGGGGCTTCATCTGTCCAGTCAGTTCAAGGCCAGGGCCCCTTTGGTGGGGCGGTCCCTGCTGAGAGATAGAAGACTTGATGATGTAGGGTTTAACTGAGGCCAGAATTCATAGGTTCTGGAGTTCCCCAGAAACTGGAAGTGGCCACTGCAACAGCTAGGAAGTGGTCACAGATGATGGGCATGTTGCTTATCAAAGCTGTTTTCAATTTTAATACGCAGAATGTTTCTAAAACCAGAGATGACAGCGAGCAGGACCCAGCGTGATCAGTAGGAGGGCAGGTGGGGGGTGACCCCTCGTGTCCGCCTCCCCCTCCCTGGCTACTCTTCTCTCTGGGTCCCAGCTCTGGCTGCCCTGGCTTCCTGCGAGGCCCAGCGAGCCTGGCCCAGCGAGCCACCACGTCTCTCCTGCAGGTTTATAAAATGGAGTGTCTAATTTGCTAAGTGGGCTTAGCCACAAGAGAGGGGAAACAAATGATGCTTTCTGTCTCTGGAACTGTGCGACGTGGGTCCTAAATGGCATTAGTGTTTGTGGCAGTGAGTCAGTGAGGAACTGGTTCCATCTGCAAGGGCAGGGGCCACTGCCACATGGCCAGGAAGTGATTAGGACAAACCGGAACCATTGGCTCCCACACCTGCTTGGCATCTTGTTGTCCTGCGGAGGGAGCAGAGCCTGAGGAAGGAAAAGCTTTTTTAAAAAAATGTTTAAAACCTGAAGCAAAGTGATGGCAAAAATTAGTTCAAACTGATGAAGCCACAAGGCTTTGTGTTTTTCATGTAGCGTTAGCAGAACGAAAAAGGAGATCACACTTATTACTGTGTATACTGGAACTGTCCCTGCCATCATGCATTGAAAAAGTGTGTTCTTTGTAGAGTAGCTCATGTAGGGAGTGTGAGAAGGGCAGTCTCCCCCGGCCCCGGGCTGTGGCCGCTGAGACAGGAGGTGTGTGAGTCCCCGGATGCAGCATTCCGCTGGCGATGTCTGTCCCTTGAGGGGCCTCTGTTTGTTAGCAGGTGGAATAAATTACTTGCTTGGCTGGCTAGTGTAGGTGCTCCTTTGCATTTCCCTGTCTGGATAGCTGAGTGCAATCTAGCATTTTCATTATGTGTTTATTTTGCATGATCTTTCATAACTGTTTTCAGTAATTGAAAAAGGCAGTCTATTATTGACATATTGAATCGTTAGCATTTTAGTGTTGCTAATGCTCATGAGTTTGCAGCAGTGTGTAATCGGTACCCGTTTCAGAGGCAGTGCTCTGTCCTTCGGTGTGTAATTGCAGGTCGATATCATTCTTCATACTCTGTGGAATTACTGCTGAAGCATTGTGTCCAGACTGAGGAAATAATAAAAGTGCATGCTCTCTGGCTTAGGAATGTTTATTCCCCTCGGTGATGACGATTCCGCTTGTGACGAACAGTAAGATGTTGGGTGTTGCTTTGTTGAGTATCTGAAGCTTGTTGCAGACTTCTGGGCTGGCTCTGGCCTGCCCCTGCTGGTTGCCTGAGGGAGGCGGCTCCGAGGGGCCTGCCTGGTGCAGCTGCGATGCCCCCGTGCCCAGGAGCCCTGGGCAGTGTCTGTCTGTGGCTGCAGAACTCGTCGCCCAGATGCTCGGACGATGTCAACTTTTGAGGAACGTTCTGGGAAAGCGGCTTTTCCGTGCTGACACAGAAGTCGATGAGTCAGCTGGGTTGTCGAGTCACACCACCCCCTCTGAATCTGTGCCCACACGTTTTGCCGTCCATTCACGACACCCAGCCTGGTCTGGTTCTCACACATGCTGTCCCTGCGGAGCGCTGGGTGGAGCCCAAAGCCTGTACCTGCCCCTGGAGCCAGAAAGAGAGCTCTGTGAGCATGCAGCCTGGGAGGCGCTGCCCTCGGCCCCCGGCGTGGGGCCCTTGTCCGGAGCCTGGGTCAGCAGGCCAGGGCCACAGGGGATTTGAGCTGAGCCCTCGGCACGAAGCTGGTGTCGGAGGCCCAGCTGGCCCGTGCTGGGCAGCTCAAACACTCAGAACCGGCGGCTTCAACATTAAGAAGAAAATTGGTTTTCATGTTATTTTACTTACGTAGTAGTCAGAATCATTGTAATTGCCTAGCCAAGGGATTTTGGATTCTTGCTACAGTTCTCAATTTGAGAATCTTTTAATAATTTACATGTTATAGTACTATAGTAAAATATGTTTGTAATCATTTTTTTTTCTGGCTACAATGCTAAACTTAAAAAAGGTTTTAAGACTATGTGTACGTTTTGGCTACACCAGGAATTCTCAGCCTCTTTAGAAGTATTCCAGAGTTTAAAAGTCCCTAAAACCCTGGCAGTTCCTAAGTCACAGTAACCACCAGCAGAAGGGAGCTGCGCGGCTGCCTCCCGTTGTTGAGTGCGTGAGCGACCTTGGAGTAGGAGGGAAGGGGCAGTGCAGGGAGCCTCCTTGGCAAGTCCTTGAGGGCGACTTTGGGGAGACTTCTGGACTAGCCACCTGCTCCTGCAGACATACAGACCCTGGGCTGCAGGAGCGATGGCGTTGCTGGTGCCCAGGCCATCGCCTGCCCGCCCGCCCTGCCCTGCTGTGCCCTGCCCTGCCCCGCCCCGCCCTGCCTCTGACTCATGAGCAATGGCAGTGCATGGAAGCTTGGAACTTTCTAGCAGGGAGTCTGTTGAGTGCTCCTCAGTTCACAAAGGTTGAGAATCCCTGGTGGAGCTGATGAAGGAGAGAATCTAAGCTCTTACATAATTGTGAACCCTTTCGTGCCTAGGAAGAACACGCCTTTGAGATAGATAGATCTTCTGAGGAGCCAGTGTAAACGGAGGTATGTAAAAACATAGCTTACAAAATCAACTCGAGAAACCAGCCCTCATCCGTTGGAGAGCCTGCCTTCTCGCTGTCGGCCAAGCAGGGGTGAGGAGGCAGCTTGGCCAGCAATGGCCAGCAGTGCACTGCTGCCACCGTTGCATCCGTGTGCAGAGTGGCGAGTCCCAACCTGGCCTGGCGCTGCCGGGGGTGGAGCTGTGTATCTGTGCTGTGGGCGAAGCGCTCACTTTGGTGCCCCTCTCCTGCATCTCCATTTCGTGGTGTATTTTGGGAAATAAGAACAGTTGGGTTGTTCCAGAAGGCAGAGCAGGTACAGAGGCCCCTTGGCTGACAGTAGGTTTGTCCCTAGCTTCATGGTGAAGTGGCATCAGCAGCGCAGAGTGTGGGGGTCCCCCTGGTGACTACTGCAAGAGGGTCCTGGGGCACACTGTAGCCTGGGGGAGCCACAGTCCCTAGTCCAAGTGTGGTTTCCATGGAGGGTGTGCTGCTTCTGCCGTGTGTCAAAGCTGAAAGCTTGGAGGTCAGAGACTGAACTCCCAGGAGGAGCCTGGAAGGTGCGTCCAAAGCCAACCGGAGCAAAGACCCACTTCTGTTAGCAAGCCTTGATGCCTGGCGTGGCACGGGGTCAGTGCGCCGTTCCTCCTGTGAGGTGTCGTGTACTGCGGCTGCGCGGCGAGCCTGGCCCGAAGCCGCTGGTTCACCCGGGCCAGCTGCTGTTGCTAACTGTGTAACTGCCCGTGGGTATGCCAGGCCTCTTCAGGTCACTGGGCGTTAGCATACCAGAGTAGCATGGCCAACCTAATAAATGGACCTTGACTAAGTGAAATGTTACATTTGAAAGGGGGTAGTATATGCTCTGAATTATTCAAATTAAGAAGCTGTTTGGAATAATCCCGCTAGCTTTCATTAGCCTGTCGCTTGCAACTTTATCCTACCTTATACTGATTCACCTCATTTTCTTCCAAGGCAACGGGGCTCTAGGTCTTAGTATCCTGCTCATAGACCCAAGCTGTATTTCTTTCTCGTTCCTCCTGCCAATCTGGTGCCCTGCTGGCAGTCAAAGGGTGAAGAAGACACCGTTTGTGGGCATGCAGAAAAGACTGGCTCACGTGTGCCCCCTCCTGGGTTCTACGCCACTGCAGAATTTGAATGAGCCATTGACGGGTTCCTTCCGTGACACCTGAGGCGGAAGCCCGGAGGGCAACAGGAAGTGTGCAGACACTGCCCAGTGTGACCTTCGGCAGTTGCAGTCAGACGGCTAAGAAAAATGATTTCCGAACATGTTCTGATTCCTGACACTCCTCCCGTACAGCTGTTGGAGCTTGCAGGCTGCGTGTTGTTTTATTTACTGCAAATTAAATACGTTGGATTTGGAAAAAAATTATTTTCCTTTTTAAGTTCTTCCCCTCCCCCCTTTTCCCTGAGTTCCTTTCAGTCTTGTATCTGGAGTGATGTTTCGGCTGTTGGGGTGCCTCCTGTCTTGTGGTAGAGCAGTACTCACGGGGAGAGAGCTGCCGCACAGTGTAGAGGCCGAGTTCTGTGCCTAAGATGACGCTGGACTGCCCTCCAGCGCCGGGACCCCATGCAGACACCCATGGGAGATGGAGCGAGGAGCCAACATGCATCTCCCACAGCCTTGAGTGAGATACCCCTGTAGCTGCTGCTGAGTGAATGAGCTGTAGATGGGGAGCCAGGTGGGGAGCTGGTACCACACAGCCCACGCGTGTCGGAGAGACAGCCCACTCCTGCGCCAGGGCACATTGGGTCAGCACGCTGGCCCAGCCCTACCCCGCCTTGACAGGCACTCCGCTACTACAAAAAAGATTTATTTTTATTGGAAAGGCATGCTTACAGAGAGAAGAAGATACCGAAAGCTCTTCCATCCACTGGTTCATTCCCCAAGTGTCTGCAATGGCTGAGCTGATCCAAAGCCAGGAGCCAGGAGCTTATATCAGGTCAACTACGTGGGTACATGATCCCAAGGCTTTGGGCCACCTTCCACTGCTTTCCCAGGCCACAAGCAGGGAGTTGGATGGGAAGTGGAGCAGCTGGGACATGAACTAGCGCCCATGCAGGATCCTGGTGATTGCAAGGCACAGAATTAGCTGACTGAGCCTTTGCATGGGCCTGAGCCATGTCACTGTGAAGTGACAGACTGCACAGGGCAGGGTGGGCTAGGTGCCCAAAGCCTTCCTGTGTACCTCAAGGCCTTCGTTGAGTCCTCTGTGATGTCACTCAGCTTGTTAATGAATATAACTGTCATTAAAATGGTTCGGTGTTTATTTTCCTGGAAGCCACGGGGGTGATGTTTCTCTAACTGGTAAGTCTTGTGTTCTGTGAGCTCTAGCTGGTGATGGAGCAGAAGGATGACTATGGTGAGGGTCAGCACAGTTCGGGTGCGTCTCAGCTCTAGTTAGTGGTCCTCAAAGACCACCCCTCACTGTTCTCTACCATCTCTGCCAGGTGGAGCGCTCTGATGAGGTCTGGCCTGGAATTCTGTGTTGAGATTGTATGCCAGAGTGGGCCCTGTCTCTGGCCTCGTGTGTTTGCACCCTATCTGTTGATAGCACCTCAGCTCCATGTTCCTGAGGTTCACAGAGGTCCAGGGCCCCCCATCCTCCAAGGGTTCAGGGCCGCTGCCCAACCCCAGCACTGAGTCAGCTCTGGGAAGAAGGGACAGGATGAACCAGGATGGGGTTATAGTGTGCCGAGCTAGAGAGGCACCCCAGCACTGACCCCACCGCCACCAGCCACCTTCCTGGGACCTGCTGGTACGGAGGGAGGCTGGCTGTGTGCTGGGGCCACCCCCAGGAAGGGCCTTGCAGTCCCTGCTGGCTGGTATGTGGAGGAGGGGCTTCCTGTTACCCTCTGTCCCATTCTCTGAGCTGCTGAGGGGATGTCCAGTGGAGCAAGTTGCAGGGAGATTTTAGCCAGCTTCCGAGCGGGGAGGAGCATCTGTGTCCCAGCCCCTCTGGAATCCCTCTGGGCCCATCCAGGATCGGCAGATCGCTCAGGCTTGGTCGTAACCGTCATGCAAGCACTTTGTTGTCAGGCCCCAGCAGCAGGCGAGCCCTTGTCCAAGCAAGGTCAACCCTCCCAACGGACGCGCTGTCCAGGAAACAGCACCCTCCACGCCCACATCCCCAAACTCTCCAGTTTCTTCCACATTGGAATTTCTTTAATTCTAAGATTGTTTTTTCTTTTTCTTTCTTAAAGATTTATTTATATTTATTGGAAAGACAGATATACAGAGAGAAGAAGAAACAGAGAGGAAGATCTTCCGTCTGATGGTTCACTCCCCAAATGGCTGCAAAGGGCTGGAGCTGAGCCAATCTGAAACTTGGAGCCTCTTCTGGGTCTCCCACACAGATGCAGGGTCCCAAAGCTTTGGGCCATCCTCCACTGCTTTCCCAGGCCACAGGCAGGGAGCTGGATGGGAAGTGGAGCTGCCAGGATAGAACTGGTGCCCATATGGGATCTGGGTGCCTTCAAGGCAAGGACTTTAACCACCTGGGCCCCCCCTTTTTTTTTTTTCATTTTTACAGACTTAACAAATT